GGGGGGGGGGGGGGGGGGGTGGGGGTGGCGTTGGTGGTGATGTTGAGGGGGAACCGGAGAGTCGCGGGAGGTGAAGGTGAGCTGTCGTTGACCCAAGTACTAGCCGACGAAGAAAGCGACAGGTGGGCGACAAGCCCCTTGCAGCAGGACGCGGCTCCAACGCGAGGGGGGACGCCAGGGCTGCCGGAGCGCCCTCGAGGGCGGCGCTGCCCCCGGTGCGCGGGCGCGCCCCGTTCGCTTTGCCCCTGCGTCACCTGCAGCATGGACTGGAAGGTCTTGAGGGCGTCGGCAAATTTGCCCTCCGTCACCAGCTTGTACGCCGTCTGTGTAAGGGTGTGTGTGTGTGTGTGTGTGTGTGTGTGTGTGTGTGTGTGTGTGTGTGTGTGTGTGTGTGTGATGCTGATGCTCCGCAAGTTGGGGCGAAAGCAAGGGAAAGGCAAGTCGGGGAGAGAAAGCAAGGGGCCACGGAGGGATGGGTTGTGCGCGAGCTGAGCCACAACCCATCCCTCCTGATCTATCCTGCCGCCTTGTGATAACACGCAAGCTAGCAAGCTCGCTCCCCAGACAGGTGGCGGGGCGGCCTTTGGAACTGCTGAGGTTAAGGCGACTGTGGGTGTGCTGTGCTTCGGCTGCGCCCGGTTCAACTGCGTAGCTGTGACACAGCTGGGGTGATCCCATGAGACAGCATCCTGAGGTCCTTCTCCCGTCCTGTCAGCGTGACAGCAGCACCCCGCATCCAAAAAGCCACTCTGCCTCGCGCCCCCCCCCCCCAAAAAAACACCCGGCTGCCTGAAGGACCCCCCGACCATATGCATTGGTATTAGTAGATAGGAGACTTTGCATTGTGCATTCAACCCTCAAATCAATACAAAACGGGTGCACCCAAAGGGAGGCCCCCCACCTTCAGGTCCTCCTCGAGCCTCGTCAGCGTGAACAGCAGGACGGGGGCGGTCGGCGGCTGGCTGGCGGCGTCGCGGCTCCAGCCCCGGTCCAGGCCCACCAGCAGCGGCGGCACGCCCTGGGG